CACTCGGAGTCTCAGAGCGGCTTACAAACTCCTTTCCCTTCCCCTCCCCACAACAGACACCCTGTGAGGTGGGTGGGGCTGAGAGAGTTCTGACAGAAACTGCTCTTTTTCAAGGACAGCTCTTATCAGAGCTGCGGCTTGCCCAAGGTCATCCAGCCAGGTGCAAATGGAGGAGTGGGGAATCAAACCCGGTTCTCCCAGATTAGAGTCTGCACACTTAACTGCTACACCAAACTGGCTTTTAATAACCAGTGGGGGTTTGAGGCTGGGCCTCCTAGATCCTGATTCAGCCTTCTAAGTGTAGATTAGAGTCCGCGCACTTAACCACAACCACAACCACACTTAACCACAACCACAACCACAACACCAAAAGGCAGATCCTTTGCCTGCGAGAGAGAGAGGGAGTGTCTTACGGAAAGGAAGAGACCTGTGGATGTTATTATATGGCTCACAACTAGGTGGCCTTGGGCCAGTCACACACTCCCAGCCTAACCTACCTCACAAGGTCGTTGTTGTGAGGATACAATGGAGAAGACGAGAATTATGTAAGCCACTCCGTATCTCCCCTCTGGGGAGATAGGTGGGGCATACATGAAGTAAATAAATAAATGGGGCTGGATGATCATCTACTAGCCGGGACCACCGGAAGAGGAGATTTGAGACCTTTATGGAAGACAGGTCTATGACCATGCAACCATCAGAGCCCTCTTCTGGGCGTGAGCCGCACTGGGCAGGTGTGAGTAGGGTTATGAGTAGGCCTGTTCGAGGTTTCCTGAGCCAGGATGGCTTCATGGGCCCTCCATCCGTGTTTCAAGGCAGGAGAGTTCAGGATGCTGGTTTCTGAGGAGCAGAAGCGAGAGGAGACGTGGGCCACTGCGCCGTGGGGCTGGCCAGAAGGCACCTGTTCAGCTCCTGTGAAAAACACAGTGCTGGGCTGGATGAACAGTCGTCTTGCTGGTGACGTTCTCGATGAAACAAGAGTTATGTGCCCACCATGAACAAGGCAACCAAACTGGGCTGTTCACACCTGCAGCCGCACATCCACCACCTTTCTGGAAGCCACGGCATGTTCTAACTCACTTAATGGATTTGTGGCAGTTGCTTCTCATCGCCACACTATCTCTCTATATTACAAAGCTGATTTGGGGTGGCATCTCTCCTATGGGGTGGCAGCATTCCATTCACACCAAAATCAGTTGGGTGCAAGAGCTGCCACTCACAACGGAGACCGTTGCCACTGGCTGCCTTCTCTGACTCCCACCCACCCACCGAGTCAGTTGGTGCCGAGCCACCACTCAAAAGGCGCTGCTGCTGTTGGCTGGGTGTGTGGCAAGGTCCCACCCATAGAAGCCCTAGCAAGCCTCTCGCCCTCAGTCAACACAGAGACGCCGGACAGGATGGGCCCTCCAGCGAGCAGAGGCGGTGAGGCAGCCACATCTTTACTCCCTATGTGCCAAATGGCTGCGGGGAGGCGGGAAGATGGCCCGGCTGGCCTCGCCACGCTCTGCTGCCGCCCTCCACCCCAGCTGGCCTGGCCTACGCCGCCGCCTTCTTCTTCACCACACTCTGGACACGGCCTCCTTGCACCTCCATCCCGCGCCTGGCCCATTGACCGAGGCCGGCGGAGACCCGGGCTGCAGCCAGAGGGGGGCTTGTCGGAAACTAAACGGCAGCTCCCCACCCTACCTTGGTCTGGCCTCCTCTATCCCGGCGCTGACGTCGCCTCTGCGTGGCTCGCTGAGAGGATAGAAGGGAGGGAGGGGCGGCGGACAGCCAGGAGGCAGGGAGGCAGCCAGCGCCAGCGCCACCCCAGAAACACCGTGCGCCAGTTCGGCATGCCGCCAAGGGGGGCAGCTCAGTACAGTCGCCAGGCAGCGCTGATGGCAAGGGAGAGAGTCCTGGCCGCAAGGTGGCTCCAGAAAAAAGGCTCCACACAATGAGAGGCGGGCCACGGTGGAGGCGCCCCATTGCCCGCGGAACTCGGCCGGCCAGAGAGCCACTGATGGCCTGTGCGGTCGCCCTCGACACCAGTATCTGCAGAGGTGGTAGGAGACACTGCCATGGCCCTCTGTGTGCTTCGACACGACTCAGGTAGGGAGCCGCTGCCGGCCCGGCCCCTCGCCACGCCACCCCCCCGGGTCTGAGGGCCAGGTAGAGAGCGGGGGGCGGGGGGAGGACCCTGCAACGGGCCTTGCCCCTAGTCCCATTATAGTTTCAATGGTTGGGTGAAAGGTTTGGACTCAAGTGCACACAGAGTTGGCACCACCCAACAAAAAGCGATGAATACTTATTCACAGATTCCTCCCCCAGTCCCCCACATGGTCTGCAACTCTGTTAAAAATGCTGTGCTCCTTTTAATAAGGCAAAGGACAATCATATGCATGGAGAAACGGGTATGTGTAATTCTAGAGGACAGGAGAAACCCAGGACAGAGGGGAGGGGCAAGACCTACAGACCGAAGCAGCGTTTGACCTGCTGATGAGCACACCTGTCAAGCAAATTAGGAGGTCAAGCTGATGTAGCAGGTGAAGAATCTGCTATGACCAAATTAGGAGGTCAAGCTGATGAGCACACCTGTCAATCAAATTAGGAGGTCAAGCTGATGTAGCAGGTGAAGAATCTGCTATGACCTCTCTTGTCCTTCTCCACCATCAGGGGCCTCTTTGCCGGAAGGGTGCAGCTTCCAGAGTCTGCCACCCAGCTTTGTAGCCTCCTTGTCACAGCGGTGGTGGGAAGTGCTGTCAAGCCACAGGTTATTTACGGCACTCCCAGAGGGTCTTCAAGGCACGAGATGTTCAGAGGAGGTTTCCGATTGCCTGCCTCTGTGTAGAGACCCTGGACGACCTCGGTGGTCTCTCATCCAAATACTGACCAGGGCCAAGGAGACCGGGCGAAGCCTTGAACCATCCTGGTCAGGTCATAAAGGGATGCTATCGTACAAAAAGATGCTGGCAAAACCCATCATATAAATAGGTATAAATACGAATCGTCTCTCCGCTGCTCCCCGCCGGCCAAGCTCCATCAGAGAGTCGTGGCTGATTTCCCTTTGGAAGACAGAGCCTGTCTGAGACGCCTTTTCAAGTCCTGCATGTTTGGGGATTTGGGTCGGACCAGGTGGAGCCCTCTTCGTTTCTCCCCGTTGCAGCTGCCAATCATCCGGCTCATCTCCTGGCAAAGCTGCTGAAAGGCTTCGCGCACCCCTTCACAGTTCTCCCGCGCAGAGACCTCGGAGTAGGTGCAGCCCAGTTCGTTGGCCAGCTGGTGGCCTTCTTTGGTGGACACCTGCCTGGCTCGCAAGAGGTCTCCTTTGTTGGCCATCATCAGCAGCGGGATGTTGGCATTGGGGTGGATCTTGCGGACATGCTGGTGCAAGGGGCCGATGGCCCGGTAGCTCTCATAGTCCGTGATGGAGTAGACGAAGACGAAGCCATCCGCCCAGTAGATGGAGCGGTTGATCTGTTCCGGGCAGCAGATGCTGTCGCCCTCATCCTGACATCAGAACCAAGAAGAACACATGTTAAAATAAAGCAGGGAAGGAAGTGGAAGCCCAAATAATACTGGGCCCCACTGTAAGGTTTCAGAAAAAGATCCCAGTGAAGGAAAACGGAAGATTTGTATTCACTTACCATGAAGCTTCCTTCTCGGTGGTCCAGAGTGGGGCAGTCCTTGACTCCTTACTCCTGGGGAAAGCACCTCCCCCTTCCATAGGCAGGGCCGGCAAACTTTGATCCCAGAGGGGAGGGGCTTATCCTCTGATCCCCAGTCATACCGAAAGCCACCTCCGAGCTGCTGTAAATACACTTAAAAAATAACTCCTTCCCCCTCAGACAACCAGGGAATACCATCACAGCCACGGGCTTAAACAAATACAAACCAGTATTTTAACCATTAGAGAAAAGAAACAGCAACAGTCCGCCACATCACGTAATCATTTAGACCATATTCACGAACAGCTGAACAACTGCAAAACATAAAGGACCGGAAGTCGTGTCCAACAAGAGAGGGTGGGTAGGACTGCCCCACTCTGGACCACCGAGAAGGAAGCTTCACGGTAAGTGAATACAAATCTTCCGTTCTATATAGGTAAACGATGATCTCCAGAATGTTCAACTATTTCAAAAGATATCTTCTTCTGAACAGATGAAGGACAATGAAGAACATGTGACGTCTCTGGTCAGTTTTTCAACTGTTACATTTCAAGAAATTCATGATTTTCTTCTACATGTCAAAACATTACTGAGAGGAAGTTCCTGATGATTCTACACAGGGCAAAATGCTGTAGGATGCCAACCTCCAGGTGGGGCAGACATAGAAAAACACCACATTAGAACAAAAAACACAATACTATTATGCTACTATGTCTTCATATATTGATATAAATAATATACTTGAATACAATAGAGACCCTAGTGTATCTTATTCATTATACTACAAAAACATAAAGAACATTATATATCTAGTAGAAAAGTCCACAGCTACAAAGACAGGTTTCAATGCTGTAGACTATCTTGCTTCTGATGAGAGACTGATGGGAGATGCCGCAGTCGTCAATGATGAAAGATACAGCAGGTCTCTATTGTATTCAAGTATATTGAAGGCTGTGGAAGGCCGGTAGTTCAGCAGTTCGAGACCCGAGTGTGCCACATGACGGAGTGAGCTCCTGTCTCTAGTTCCAGCTCCTGCCAACCTAGCAGTTCGAAAGCAAGAACTTGCAAGTAGATAAATAGGTACCACTTCGGTGGGAAGGTCACAGCGTTCCCTGCACCTTGGTGTTTGGTCATGCCGGCCACATGACCACGGAAACGTCTTCAGACAGCGCTGGCTCTTCGGCTTGGAAACGGAGATGAGCACCGCAACCCTAGAGTCGGACTCGACTGGCTTTCGAGCAAGGGAACCTTTACCTTTATATTATTTATATCAATATATGAAGATATAGTAGCATAATAGTATTGTGTTTTTTGTTCTAACACGGTGTATTTCTACGTTTGCTCAACCTTGCCGTGTCTCCCGTGCGTTTGTTGCTGAACCTCCGGGTGGGGCCTAGAGGACTCCCGCTTTTACAACTGATCTCCACACTACCGAGATCAGTTCCCCTAGAGAAAATGGCGGCTTTGGAGGGTGGACTCCAGGGCTCTTTCTGTGGCAGGGACTCCTTTATATTAGGCAACACGCCCCTCATGTAGCCAATCCTCCAAGAGCTTACGGAGCTTTTCTTACAGGGGCTACTGTAAGCTCTCGGAGGATTGGCTGACTCTAGGGCCGTGTACCAGGCTGACGTCTTTCTTGCCCCCCAAGCCCTGTCCTTTCCAGGCTGCACCCCCCAAAACCAGGTATTTCCCAACCCAGAGCTGGTGACCCTACCCCAATGACCGCCCATCCACAACACCCGGGGCTCCTGACTCCGGCTGGGAAATTTCTGGAGATCTGGGGGCAAAGCCCGGGAAAAGTGAAATTTCGGGAGGGGGCTGAAGATCGCTCAGAATCGCAGCTGGCCCCCCAGGCTACAGAGACCAGTCCCCTCAAAGGAAACGGGCAGCTTCAGAGAGCGGACTTCGAGGGCACCACACCACGGCCGAGCCCCCCCCAGGCTCCGCCCCCAAATCCCAAGGAATTTCCCCAACAGGAGAGGGTAACCCTCAGTGCTCCCTCTAAGCCGAGCTAGTGTGAGCTAGTCCATGGTTTTTTAGCCTCCGGCTCACACATTTTTGCCTTAGCTCAGGAAGAAGGGCTCCAGAGCAAACTGACTGATGCCGCAGCCCAATCGCTCGCTCTCAACTTTAATGCCGGTTGCTCACAAAGTGGAATTTTTGCTCACCAGACTCCACAGCTTAGAGGGAGCATTGGCCCCAAGTAGGATGCAACAGAGTCTGCCCTCCAATGCCACCGTTCTCTCCCAGGGACTGATCTCTGTCATCTGGAGCTCAGTTGTAATACTGAGAGACCTCCAGGCCCCACATGGGGACTGGCAGCCCTGTCCGACACCAGACACAAGCGGTTACGTTTTTCAGGGGAGAGAGACATCTTGTCATCCTGAGGCTGGGCCTTCAGGCCGCCTCCATTACTGTGAAGGGAACCCTTTCAGCCACAGAGGCCATCTCTGCCCCAAACACCAGCACGGCCTACACTTGAAACTGCACCCGCCTTTCGTGCGCGACAGTCCCTCCCTCTGCGTGGCCCCCAAATGTTCTTCTGGGCGCTGTGCAGCAGGACGGACAGGATCTCGGGGGATCTTACAAGGCCCTGGGAACACAGCTGGCTGGCTGGCCTCCATCAGGGATTCTGTGCACAAAGCAGGCCAAAGGCCAGAGCTGACAGACAAGGCCCCAAAGGTCAAGAAGCTGCCCTGCATTCAGCTCTCGGGAGCCCACTTGCTCCACTGTTTTGATGAGACAGCACAGCTGTACAGGAGAAAGGGGTGGTGGCGAAGGGAAGGAGTGAAAGAAGGAAGGCAGGTCTACTCTACACACCAATGCAGGAAGCCCCCACCCTACCCTCTTTGTCCTTGGCCCTAAGCGACTTTCATCCCTGCCCAGGGACTTTCTGATGTGCACCCAGCACACCTTTTGCATTCCAACTCGAGCTTGCCAGAGCACCCTGTTTTGCTGGCTTCTCTGGGGCCCTGGCCTAAGGTTGCCAACTCTGGGTTGGGAAATTCCTGGACATTTGGGGGTGGAGCCTGAGGGGGAGGGCAGGGTCTGAGGAGGGAAAGGACCTCAGGGAGTTATAATGCCTTAGAGTCTCCCCTCTGAAGCAGCCATTTTCTCCAGGGGAAGTGATTTTGTCAGGGGTGTCGAACTCAATTGTTATGAGGGCCGGATCTGACATAAATGAGACCTTGTTGTGCCGGGCCACGTGTGTCATAAAAGGTAATGCCAGGTAGCGGAGATATAAACTTTATAAAGGACACAAACACAAAGGGTTTTTTTTACTTAAAACATGAGCACTCTTGCAATATTTTGCTTATTTAACAGTGTCTGACTGCTCTGACTTATTACATCAAAATCTTTGTGCTGTTGCAATCTTGAGTATGTTGTTCAGGTATGTATCTGTAAGCTGTACATCTATGATGATGCAGCAGCAGCAGAACTGGAAGAAGAAGCAGACGGCAGCCAGTTCCATTGAGGGCCTGATAAAAGCCCTCCGGGGGCCTGATCCGGCCCCCATGTCACATGTTTGACACCCCATATCTATGTAGTCCGGAGTTCGGTCCTAGTCCTGCTACCAGCAGTTCTTCTTTCTCCCCTCCCCCCCCCTCACTTGTCCACACTCTCCCAGCTGGTGTCACTAAACAAAACACAAGGGAAAAGTCCCTTTTCACACCTGGATGGCTTAGGCATCTAGACAACCTTTGCACGTTAAAGGCCAAATCTTTTTTTTCCTCTACCAGGAAATAAAATATTAGAAAGAGCAATGTGCTATTGTTTTTTAGAAAGGAGGGGGGGAACCATGAACTCACAAAAAGCACACCTGACAAAAAGGGGGGTCCCTTAATAGCAGGTTCAATTGGGGGGGACACACACACCATGATTTGTATTGGTACATCTCGGTGGGAGAAAGAACCACTGACTGTAAATCAGTATTTTGGAACAGATCTAAAGAAAACAGCGAAGAAACATCCACTGACTCCTTCAGTAACTGGAGGAAATGGATGCAATAATTCAAATGGAATGTGGCAGAATGCAAAATAAAATGCTAGTAAGTTATTTTTAGAGGACACATCTCCTTAATCATTTAATTTTAACCGCACACCCAAGAAGTTACTGCTTTTCAGTCAGCAGATATCAGCTGACAACTCCCCTTATCTCTTTGCTTTTGGCCTCTTTTGTTTAAAAAACCCAACATTTTAGGCACAGTTTTGCTTGACCAGTTCCCCGGAACTCCACAGCACAGCAAAATACGCAGCCATTCTGACTCCAGCTAGGAGATTGCTGAAGCATGCTTGTCAGAGTTCCTGCAACCCTGGGTCAAAATGAGAAACTCTCAGCCTAGAGTTTGGCTTGGATATTTTCTGGACTGCTGGAAAGTGGTAGGAGAGAGCCGTTTTTGTTCAGAGTGCGTATACATACTCCCCCCACCCCCGGCCTTGCCCTAACAATAGCCTTTGATGAAACAAGTTTTGTGAGATTTAGAGGCAATAAGTTTTAATAGGATAATGGAAGTGAATAAATATAACAGAGCTGTTATGCCGCTTTCACTCTTTTTTTCAGAAATGGAAGGCAGCTGTAGAGAGGGCGTTTGAGTCTCATGTGAGGAATAACCGGGGGGGGGGAACTTTGGGTGAAAGACGGGTTCTGATTACCCTGGGCATGTGAGGATGCATCAGAGACAGGTCAAGAGGGAGAGGAAAATACCCCCCCGGGGGGGGGGGAAGATGGAACTCGTAAGTGGTGCCCAATTTATGACTCTTTAGGTTAGATTTTTTTGGGGGGGACTAAGAACTCAGAAAACTGGCCATGCTAATTCCCCCTTTTAGGTGCAATTATATGACATAAGTATACCACTAAGTTCTACTTCTAAAAGATTTTCCATGTAAGAAAATGACTAGAACTTTGAGGAAAATATAACCTAGCTCAGCCCTCTTTAAGTACTGCTAATTTTGAATTTGAAGGGTTTAAAAAAACAGGGGAGCATTCAGAAGTGTGAGGTTCCCCCCATATCCATCCTACCAGCTTCTTCCCAGCCTTATTCAGCTGCATGTGCAAATCCAGCTCCCATATCTTAAGAGAGGGGAGTTCCATTTGTAAATACATGTCTATCCATCCATTTAGTTTTCCGACTTTCCAAAAAACTTTTATCCTGTATTTATCTTACAAAGCCTAGACCGACTTACAATACAATTCTCTGTTTAAAACATCAAAGTGTAATGAATTTGCACAACAGAACAAAAACTAACGGAGAGAGACAGAAATGGGACCTGGTGATGAATACACAAAATCTCCCAGACGTGGTTCAACAAGACTGCAAGACTGTGTCCATTAACTTCAATCCTTGCCGGAGTTGGTCCTAAATGCCCAAAGGGAGGAGTTAAAATGAGTTTTCTGAGGGACAGTTTCAGAGGAGAGCCCTAGAACAGCCAGATTCGAGCCAAATAGCACCTTAGAGACCAACACAATTTTCAGGGTATAGGCTGGACTTGAATCTTGTTATTCTGGGGGATAGCACCCCATAACCTTGGGGCTGTCTCATATTACTGTCACCTGTTGTACATCCAAACAGCACGATAGAGCTCAGAGCTTCTTCAGTAGGGCTGAACTGAGATGCTAAAATGGTTGCCAGCAGTAAAATGGGGACCAAGGGCAAGAGAAAGCCTCCAACTACACTTTTGAGCATCTGCAGCTTGGGCAGCCATTTTACCTCCAACGAAACAAAGGGCGTGTCCTGGACCTGCAAGGAAATCTGCTCTCCGTCGATGGTGAATTTCCTGGAATACAAGGCCCCTAGAAGAAAAGACGGATCGTCATGGAAACACCAAACAGACAGCAAGTTTTCTACCCTCTGGTTGGGCTGACCCAAACACACCAGCCAACTAGGAAGTGCCTGGGTTGCCAAAATTCCCAGGGTAGCTGACTCACCTAGAGCAACATTTATAGCAATGCAAAAGCAAAACCCCTGCTCTGTACTTTTGGGGGTCATCTAGGTAAGGGCAGCCTAACAGCTCGTTGGTTGGGTGGTGTTCTAGGTGACCCCGGGGGACATTATTGAGAGGCATTCGATTTCAACTGGCCACACGGCATGCACAGATACAGTGGAGAAGTGACACGCATTTTAGAGTCAAAAGCAAGAAAGCAGGGCCTCAGTCAAGTGGGGATTCTTTTAACATGCTATTATCGTGCTCAATTTATGGTAAAACATGGAGCACCTTCAAAGCCTTATACAGCCTGGGACCAGCATACCTAAGGGACCATCTCTTCTCATATACGCCTCGAAGAGCGTTATGCTCTGAGAGTCAACATCTCCCGACTCCCGGCGATCCCTGGCCCCCACCTGGTGGAACACGCTCCCCACTGAGATCAGGGCCCTGCGGGATCTTACTCTGTTCCGCAGGACCCGCAAGATGGAGCGGTTCCTCCAGGCTTTTGGCTGAGGCAGGGGGCGTCCACACATGCCCCCCCCCCCAAGGTTGCTGTCTCCCACCCACTGATAGCTGGCCATACCTACCTTCATCAATGGGCCAGATTCTCCCTACGGCAAGCTGTGATTATTGATTTGATGTGGTTATAATGGGTCTTAAATGTTATTATATTTATTGAAATGTAACCCCCCCTGAGCCCGTTTACAGGATGGGCGGGATATAAATGCGAAATAAATAAATAAATAATTCAATCAGGGCATAAAAAGAAAACACACGTGCGCTCTCTCTCGCTCTCTCTCTCTCTCTCTCTCTCTCACACACACACACACACACACACCTGGGCTAGCTCTGGCTCCCAGGATGTTGCCACCTCTGCAAATCACTCTATCTGCACAGTGCAAAGGGTTACCAAGACAGGTGCACAGGGCCAATTAAACAATAGAATAATTGATTGCAAAATTATCTATGAAGGGGGGGGTCAAATATAACGGGGGGGGGATAGGCTGGTAGGGGCCCAGGCACAAGGAGTCTGCTCTGCCCTGTTTCTCTCCACCCCTTGGCATCCTTGATAGTGGGGGAGGCTGGGATGCCCAGTGTAATGGGACAAAATGGGGTAGATGTGCAGCTGGTGACTTCCTTCACAATGGAATCCCCCACAGAGCACTGTTTCTACGGGAGGGGACATTAGCCGTTTACTTCTATGGGGGGGGGGAGAGGAAGAGAAGGAGAAGAGTAGTTGGATTTATACCCCACCCTTCAGAGTCTCAGAGCGGCTTACAATCACCTTCCCTTCCTCTCCCCCAACAGAGAGAGCCCTTTCAAGGACTGCTCCTGAGAGAACTGCTCTGAGAGAACTGTGACTGACCCAAGGACACCCAGCTGGCTGCATGTGGAGGAGGAGTGGCGAATCAAACCTGGTTCTCCAGATGAGAGTCGTGCCGCTCTTAACCACACCACCAAACTGGAACAGGGTGCAGCATCGGGGTGGGTGGAGGAAGTAAAATATGCCCCCAGATCCAAGTGACTGTTACAGTTTGGGCAGGCTTTGCCTTTTCCTAAATGGTGTCTCTAATTGTAGCTCATTCATTTGTCTGACGGGATTCGGTGGCTTCTATTCATCTCTATGGCAAAGAGTTGCAAGTGGGGCTGCCAACATCCAGTTTGGGCCCGGAGGCCTCCCACAATCACAGCAGATCCTGCAGGCAACAGAGATCAGTTCCCCTGGGGAGAAAGGGCAGCTTCGGAAGGTGGATTCTGCTGAGCATCCTCCCCTCCTGAAACTCTGCCTTCTTGAGGCTCCACCCCCAAATCTCCAGGAATTTCCCAACAAGGAGTTGGCAACCCTAGTTACAAACTGGGTGGGCAGGGGGCAGGCTGTGCTGATTTGCAGATCATAGAATCACAGAGTTGGAAGGGACCTCCAGGGTCATCTCGTCCAGCCCCCTGCACAATGCAGGAAATTCACAACTACCCCCCCCCCCCCCCCCCCCCCCCCGTGACCCCTGCTCCATGCCCAGAAGGTGGCAAAAATCCTCCGGGATCCCTGTACAAACAATTGCTTCCTGACCCCAAAGTGGCGATCAACATTTCCTTGGACGTGTAAGGAAGGGCCATGAGAACTAAGCACTGATGCAACCCTCCCTGCCCTCCCTCTCAGGATCTGATGCAACCCTTCCTGCCCTCCCTCACAAGATCTGCCTAAGTTCACACAATTAGCATTGTTGTCAGATGGCCATCTAGCCTCTGTTTGAAAACCTCCTGAGGAAGTCGGTTCCACTGCTCTAACTGGCAGGAAGTTCTTCCTAATGTTTAGCCGAAAACTCTTCTGATTTAATTTCAGCCTGCTGGTTCTGGTCCAATCTCTGGGGCAACAGAAAACAACTGTCCGGCAGCAGCCTTAAAGCGTTTGACCTGCAGGCTGCTAAACCGTCTTCCGACCTCTGCCAAGTCAGATGAAGGCACCCATGGAAGGTTGCTCAGGTGAGAGCAGAGTTGCCAAAAGGTGCCAGGAAAATTAAGGCCAGAGGGGCTTCAGAAGGCAAAGCCGCAAAGGGGACTTGTCCAGGAGATGCAGGAGTCGGTGAGAGACGGACTCCTTGGGAGAGCAAACAGGAGAAGGTGAACAGCACGTATTGATCAGAAATAGCCTTGCTTTGATGGAATGAGGATACCATTTGACACAGCCCAGATTTCTTCTGCTGCTGAAACCTTTCATGGCAAGGAGCTAAACAGCATCCCTTGGTAAACAGGACTCCATTAAGTCTCTATTAAAAGGACAGGACATTTTCGCCGCAGCCCCCCCCCCCCACCTGCAAACTGAACTGAAGTGGTCACTTTATATAGTATTCCCCATGAAGATGCCCACATGCAAAAGCCTCCTGTCTATCAGAAGGAAGTCCCTTTAGCAAAGGACTCCTTTCCCCAGGCAATGTTAATCTTGCGTCTTTGTTTTCAAGCTAATTAATATTACTTATTCTCTTGGGAGATGGCTGGTATTCTCTCTGGACATTAACAATTCAGATGTCAGTTCTTGTTCTCTTGGAGAAGCACTGGGCTTCCGGACTGTTTTCTATTTTGTAGAGATGCAAAAACCACTGCTCTTTTTTTGTTCATTTGGGATTATAGCAGCACAACTGTGAAATGACAGTCATTCAAAAGAAAGCGAGCAGCGGCTTTCTTCGTCTGGAATATAAAATATACAGTACTTAAGTCTCATCCCCAAACAAGAGGTGATTATTTATAACTAGCTCATGAACTTGCCCACCAGGTGAGAAACAGGAAATTATTACTTACGCTGAAAGAATGCGGAAGTTTACTTAGGCCCCGTTCACACAGAGCATTTGCTGTGCTGAAGGCACGAAAGTCCCGCGGATTTTCCGGGTGCAATCACACCGGAACATCTGGGAGGCGTAGCACACCCATGGTGTCCTCCCGAAGATGGGCAGTAAAAAACTACCTGGGACAACCTACAGGCAAATGGTTTGCCACGGGCTGCATGCGGACTCCATGGGTGTGATCGCGCTGGCGCGCGGCTTCCTCCCCCGTGCCGCGGGGAAGCCGCCGTCGCGTCTGATCGTATAATTGCGCATCAGAATGCGACGGCGCAAATAGGCACGCCTCCCCCCTGCATTTTCCGGCACGTGTGGCCGGGGCCTTATTTATTTATTTATTTAATTCATACCCTGCCCTCCCTGCCAAGGCAGGCTCAGGATGGCTTACATAAAGATATAAAACGATTAAAACAAGAATTAAATAAAATCAGAGCAGTACAATCACTGATAAGATCCCGCAGGGCCCTGATGTCCTCTGGGAGCTCATTCCACCAGTGCGGAGCCACCACCGAGAAGGCCCTGGCCCTTGTCACGGCCAGCCTGGCTTCTCTGGGGCCCAGTAGGGCCAAGCAGTTTTTGGGACCCCGATCATAGTGCTCTCTGGGGAACATGGGGGGACAGGAGCCTTTAAAAAAGCCTCAAAAGCACTTTGACTGTCCACATAAGACAGCTGGGTGCTGCAACTGCATTTTAAAAAAATCTCCACAAATCAAATGCAAAAGGATATGGGAAAATGCCACAGAAAACACTGGAGTGCATCAGCTTGCCAACAAAGTTATCTGGCTTGACCGTGAAACCTGAGTGAGCAAATAATGACAATTCCAAATTAAACGGCCAATGTGGAACTAAGTGTGTGAAACAAAGATCGTCCAGCACACTAGGGGCAATTTCTCACTAGAGCTGCCTCGCAGCACAGCCGCCGTTTGCCCCGACACAAACATGTCAATTTCACACCCGAAGCTCCGGGGCTGCATTTTGACTCGGGGCTTCGCCCGATTTCCTCTGCAGTTTTGTGATCCTGGTTTTTGAGGATCATAAAACTGCGGAGGAAATCGGGCAAGCCGCGGGTCAAAAGAACACCCCTCTGTGATCGCAGACCGTACATCTGCTATAGATAACTGCCTGTTTTCAGCTTGTTTCCATGCCTGCTGTAGGGCTGATGGCTTAATAAAAACAATATGCCGTTCCCAGCCCTCCTTCTCTAGCAGCAAATGACTGGCATTCTTGGAGCTCAGACTCCTGCGTATTTCTCCTCAGAGTTCAGTGCCTGTGAACTGACTTATGAGTGCGCTGGCAGAGGAAAAGGCTGCTGGAAGCCCGAAGCAACCCGACGAGCTTTGTGGTAACCCTACTACCATGTTTTCCCCCTCCCATAAGGTTGTCAGAGCCCTCTTTTCTGGCAATTTTCTCCAGCAACTTTTGTAGCTAAATCAGAAGCGTCAGCTGCAAAGGGTCCTTCTGTTCCACGCCCTCACCTGGATGGCCCAAGCTAGACTGATCTCGTCAGATCTCGGAAGCTAAGCGAGGTCATCCC